TCTTGCTCTCTAACTCTGTCTTTATTTCAGCTAGCGCTCAGGACAGTGAACTTGTCTCGTTCGGCCTACGCCTGTTTCCTTTTTGCTCCCCTGTTCTTCCAAAAATATGTCATCACAGCGAGCCCAGTTTTTCGATGTAAAATGGCCATAAAGGTATGAAACTGTGTTTTCTACTAGTGAATGATGTGCAGCAGTTGTCTTAATGTCTGTCTTTCTCTGGTCTCTGTCAGTTAGTCTGTCACTGTGTGTCAGTAGGTGCTGCAGTGTGTCGGTGTTTGATTCTCTCTGTCAGTTAGCTGTGTCATAGTCAGTCAATTCAGAGCACAAACTCAGCGACTCTGCCTCACCCACTGGACACACAGACTCAACAAAAACTGGACCAGACTCTACAAATATGACACACGCCGGCTGAATATCTGATTGGCGTAAGAGACAGCAAAGAGAAACAGACCCTGACTGTGCAGGCTCAGTGACTTCAGCTTGGACACAGACAGGCCTGACTGACCAGAGAGGACAGGCTCAGTGACCACGCCTGGCCATAGAAACTGGACACAGACAAACCCGACTGTCCAGAGAGGACAGGCTCAGAGACCACAGCCTTCCCATAGAACTGGACTTACTTCTGGGAAAACCACGACTCTGGTCTTGTCCAGGTTGACTCTCAGAGCCCAGATCTGACTGTGCGGCTCTAGAAGTACTGTCTGTAAACGTTTGTCATGGTTGTTTCTAAGTCTGTGTTATTGTGGTTGGATGTGTGGCAGTTGGCAAAGAAGCCAATCAGTGCACTCGATCAGTCCTTGGTTCCAGGTCTGGGGGAAACATCCGGCTGTCATGATGAGGTTGAGCAGGGCTTGTTGCAACTTCGAGCTGCTGTGTCTCAGCATCTCGTTGTTGACTCCATCTTGGCCACAGGCCTTTTGTGGTCTGAGGGCCTGGAGTTTGTCCAGTAGCTCCTGCTCATTGACTGGGGAGTCTAAGGGGTTTTGGTCGTCTTTCATAGCCAATTCCAATGTTTTCTTTTTTTGGAATATATTGTTTTTGTTTATAATGTTTCTGTGTTTGGGATCTGTTGGTAGAGAGATGTTCAAAACTAAAAAATGGCATTTTGACTTTCCTCTGGTTTTGATTCCTATGTATTATTCAGGTTTTCCCAGATACAGCTTTGATGTATTGACTTTTTGGTTTCTGAGTTGTCT